TCTAGATAGATCTGTAGTGATAATGATATGCACCAAAAAGCAAGGCATAGCAAGACAGATGACGAATGAGAACACAGTGATGAAAACAAAAAAGAAAACCAATGACCCATAAAAGAATAAATTAGTTAAAAGAAAAAAGAGAGAGAAAGAAAAAAATTTAGAAAGAAAGAAAAGCCTGTAAATAGATCAAGGTCTGATTTTAGACCTGTAGGCATGTCCTCCAGTCAGGTCTGATGGGGTGCCATGCTCTGGCCCCAGAGTCTGTCCTTTGTACTCCCTCGGGACCTCCCTGCTCTGCTCCTCCCCATTGCTCTGCGCACACCTTTAGTGTTTTGCCTTGGTGTCACGGGTCAGTCCTGGCTCTTCCTATTCTTCTTTTCCTCCTCCCTTCAACAGTATTGAACCTCTTTATCTTTTTTTTTTTTTTCAGCCTAAAAGATAGGTTGTCTTATTCTAGGTCATTCAACACTTGTATTGTAATGGAAATAACTAGAAACAGTTCATCTTTAATATGATAAAAAAAAGTATTATCTTGGCACTACTCAAATAGCTTAAAATGTTGATTCCCTCATTATATTAAAATGCCTTCTTAAGATTTAGGATTCAATGAAAAACAATAAACAAAAATAGTTTTATGTCCTGCGATCGCCTTTCAGCTAAAAAAGAGATAGGCCATTAAAATAAACAATAACACCCATTAGGAACATTCTCTTTGGGAGCAATCCGTCACATGAGATCAAAAGAGCAAACCGAGTTCAGCAGGCAAGAAGGCTGCAGGAACGCGGGTCTGTCGCAGCGAAGGGCGAAGAGTGCTGTCACTTTGAAAGGATTGCAGTGAAGCCCAGGAAACAAAAGGCATGTAAATTCTGGAGTGGAAAATTAGTGTCATGTGCAAACTGTCTCAGAGTATGCAGAGTGGAACAGCAGGGTAGATTGTTCTCATATCTCTGATGTTTCAGAAGCATGAACACCGGGCCTTACTTCAGAGGATGAGTTAGAATCATCCATCTTTCCATTGGTAGACCAGCATTTACCTTCTACTAACTACTTAGACTCTACTCATTGAGGAGCCCTGTTCAAAGTCTATTGTAAATGTAAATACACACACATACATATATGTGTATATATGTCTATAAGTGTGTTTACCAAAGAAACCCTTCCAGAATTTGCTTCTGTGTAGTCAGTTGACTTGGGCTGCCAACCATAGGCCCCGATAGTTAACAGCTTCACAGGAGGAAGATTAAGCTTTCGCTGCCTGTAAACATTAACAGGCTTCATACTTACCTGGCAGGGGAGATACCATGATCACAAAGGTGGTTTTCCCAGGGCAGGGCTTATCCATTGCACTCCGGATGTGCTGGCCCTGTAGTTTCCCCAAATGTGGGAAACACGACTACATAGTTTGTGGTAGTGGGGACTGCGTTAATGCTATCCCCTTAAAAGATAAATAGGTAAATAAAAATTAACAGGCTCGGAAACTCAACAGGGCAGTTCAACCCTACCCTGGAGGGTCACTATGAGTCAGAATCCAGTAGACAGCAGTGATTTTATAAGATGGTTAAAAGCATGATTCCTAACAGAATGGTTGGGGGGTTGATTCCACTTGGAGGTCCTTTGAATGAACTTCCCGGTGATCTCCTTGTGAAAAATAATAACCATTCAAACCACTAAGGAGCATAGTTCTACTCTGAGATCTACAAGGAGGGTTACTTCACAGCAACTAGTTTTAGAGACCATAGTTCCCCTTCTTTCCTTTCTAAATACTAGGTAACAATCTCCCCCAAAACCAAACTCACAGCCATTGAGTCTATTTCTGACTCATAGTGACCCTGTAGGATGAAGTAAAACCATCTCTTTCAGTTTCCAAGACTGTCATTCTTTACGGGAGTAGGAAACCTCACCTTACTCCTGTGGAGTTGGTGGTCTAATCACCTTGAGGTACTGTGTTAGTCTGGTTACTTTAGAAAAACAAATCCACAGAAACTCATGTGTATAAGAGAGAGTTTTATATAAGGGGTAAGTGCACATCAAGAAAACATCCCAAACCATGCTGCCCAAGCCCACAAGTCCAACATTAGCCCATATGTCCTACACCAATCCACAATGTCCTCCTCCATCTCACAAAACACATACTATGATGCCGACTGCAGGAGGAGAGCTGAGTCAGTGAGCGTATAAGCATCTCACCACTGGCAGGGGTCTCAACACAGGTGCTCCAGCATCCAGGGCTGCATCGGGGTAGGTTCATGTGGCTTCTCCTCAGGGATGTCTTGCAGGAAGTGAGCCTTGCCAGCTAAAGCAGGGAACTGCTAAGGCAGCTGCACCCTGGTCCAACCATCACAAAGCAAGAGACCCGAGAACTAAAAAGGTGAGGCTCACCGAGCTATTTATCTCTCCACCCTTCAATTAGCCCCACATGTGTTTATCGGCCAGGTTGGCACAATAAACTTTAACTAACTCAGGTACCTTAATGATAAAGAACTAGATTGCCCTATGACTTCTGTGAAAGATGGTGTAGCTTGACTCCTCTGATTTTCATTTGTTTCTTTATAATATGCAAATATGAGGATGTGGTCTTTAGTGTGTTTGCATACGCTAACTTAAAATGAGCTTTAGTACAACATACTTCTACTGAATATGTAACTCAAAAAAAATAAATAAATCAAGCAAATGACAGAAATAAAGACGAGCTGAACAGAAAATCCCATAGGTGGCTTGAGAAGACCAAGTCAAGTAACTGCGGAGTCCTAGAGTTAGAAAACCAAATGGGAAGAAGACACTTCGCATTTCTCAAGGTCAAAGAACGAAAGAAAAACGTGAGGCTTCAAGCTGCAGTATCGGAGGATTTTAGGGTCAAAAGTTAGAACAATTCAGAAAGGAACAAAAGAAGATAGGAAAAGTTCAGTCACTCTACCAAAAAGAAGTTGTTAACAAAAAGAATCGGTCAAGGATTGAGGGCACTGACAGAGCAAGAGCCCACTGTATGGAAGGCTCTGGTGTGAAACACAGCTTCCGAAACTGACATTTTCTGCGGTTCTTAAAAGCATTCCCAGCACTGTCGCTCCCACTTACGTTATTTCTCAGAACGGATGTTACAATCTGCTATGAACATTTGATACATTCACTTCCTCCTTCCTTAAAACTCTTGATTGCTATGTTTTTGTAGCCTTTCTTTTCTTTTTTATTCTTCTGACCTGTTTTAATCAAGCCACGTAAAGTATGACTTACACAAAATTGTGTCTTTCCACAATGTCAGACTTACTTGTCCAAGATGGTAATTGAAGCAATACACTAATTCACAGAGTCGTGTGGTTCTGTAAATTAGTCAAAGGGAAGGAAGACAGAAATGGGGCAGTCCCAAAATTAAACTCACAAACTACAAGGTCAGGATCGCTGGGTGTATGGTTTGTGGTTGCTGGTCTGGTCAGAGAACAGCAGGTTTTCGTCATCTGCAACTCTTGACTCAGATGGGTTACACGACACAAGGAGCTAAAATCTTGAAGGTCTTAGCTCAAGCAATCACAGCATGCCCAGGTAATCAGTTCTCAGCACCTCAGAAGAAGCAGTGGTCAGCTGTCAGGACTGGGTGACTCCTGGGGTGAGTCTTGTTCCCGAGCGTGCTTTTCATGTGCGTCCTTGGGTTAGGTCCCTTTATCTAACTGACATGTCTGTTTGGTCTTCACTGCAAGTTGTTCTTTAAAACTAGTTTTACCTCACAACAAAACAAATTACTTTAAAACAAAAATAAGTTTTTTTTAAAATGTCTTATCTATCTTACCTAATGCTTGACTATGAGTTTTAAAAAAAACAAGGTTGTTTATATATTTGATATTTGAAACTCATATCATGCCTTCATTAATCACTTCATCTGGGGTTCCTCTGCTGGGTTTTCCTCGCTTCCTAAGATTCCATCCTAAATAACCTATGCAGTCTCATGAAGAGTTGGCCAAATGTTCTATTGCTGTAGCAAAATTGTTGGTAAAATATTGCTTTCCACATTTTTAAAGGCCTCTAGACAATGGTCTATCCTAAGACGTATTTATTATATGCAAGTATATATTCAGAATGCAGGTGTAGCACTGTGTTGTTGCTTCAGCAAAAGTCTTTAGGAGAGAATCTAGGATACAGTTAATCTGGATGCAAATGGAGATAAAAGGACCTACTTCTTTGATAAAAGAAGTGACTTCTGCCTGAGATCAGTAATCTAAATTGATGAAGAGTATAATAATTAGAACCATGCACGAAAGAAAAATTCAACTGGGTCTTGATATGAATGGGAAGTAGTTATCACTCCTGTCTGCAAAGCAATGGCCTTTACAGTAAATAGGACTGTGATCTCCAATCTTGTTCAAGCACCTCCGTGGAGGAGTTGAAGTAAGACGTGCTCTTTGTCGGACGACCAGAAGAGCTGCGTGGCTCCAGCCTATGGTTACTGAGCCTTTGGATCAGCATTTCTCTAGAAGAAGCCTGGTTCAAAGGAAGAAAATGTGCAACAGGATTTCAAATTCTAATAAAATCCAGAATTTCTGGAATCATTGAGGCTGGATGAGCCCTCAAAACTATTGCCCTGTGATTATCTTCAAACTTTAAACTGAAAATATCTCCTAAAATCTTCCTTAAATCATAGAACAATTTAGCTAACTTAGTAAAAACTGTCTTCCTTGAGTGTTGTGTCTTATGTAGAACGATCTGTATAGGATCAATTTTAAAAGTAGGAAGCTTCCACAGCAGTGAGTTCATTTAAATGCCATAGGAACAAATCCGAATGGGGGAGGTGAGAATTTTCACATAACTTGAAGAGATTTATCAGTGTCACTAAATTGTACATGGAGGAATTGTTGAATTCAGATATTTCTGTAGTGTATCTTTTTCAACGACTAAAAGTTGAATATTTTTTAAGTTAAGGGAAGACAATGGGATCCAATCAAACAGCAAAGACCAGATTCCAGACAACACCTCACTCCTCTGTATCAATCACCTCCTGTGTGCTGCCTCGCTGCTTCTCAGCTTTACCGCTGGCACCTGCGGTAAATATAGTGAACATTTTTGTCCAAGTTTTAATTTGCTTTTCTTGACAGTTCCAACTTCAAGGCGTATACTGTGCATTTCTCTTTTCTTGTCCCGGCTATTTTGTAATTCTTTGGTAAGGTACCCCAGTGGAAGTATGCTACATTCTAACTCTACCTAGATTTCATATAATGAAAATCATACCCCAAAACTAAAACCCAGAAATAACAAAGAAAACATAGAAAAAGCTCAACAGGAAAGGAGGCAGATCTATTTATAAACAAGAACAAATTTAAAATGAGTCAAAAGGGATATTAGCCTAACAGGTTCTGCAAGAATCCACTTTCCATTGCACTCTGCTTGATAGCAAGGCTTTTCACATCCCCGGTCTAGGGTCAGAGAGGATTCACTAGAGGCTTAATTCACATGCATTTCCCTTTCACTGTCTACACACTCATGTGCCCACCAACGTGCGCACACACAAATCACAACAACTTTAAAATGTGTCAAAAGTGAGAAAATGATAAGGCATGACACTTTAACCTAACTACTTCTACCGTAATTGAGTTTGCAATGCTCTCTGTCTGATAACAAGGGTATTCACATCCCTGGACTGTATGGTTCATGAGCTTAATCCGAAACAGTATCTGACCCTGAAACATATGCCAGTAGGGAAGGGCCTGGAAAAGTCCCTAAGGAATCCATACTCTGAAAAGTGCACGATACATATGACGATGAAGGATTGCAGGGTGGTGGACAAAGCGTTTTTGCAGAGGAAAGAACCAACAGCTCCCAGATTGACTAATGAAAGAATCGATTCTATTTTCAGAAAGAGCAGCTTTGCTATCTCTGTCCAGCAAGATGTGAAAATTGTGATGGTCATTTGCAAATGGGAACTTTTATTGTGTATTGGTTGTTTTGTGAGCAGATAGTTTAGCGTGTTGGTTCTTGACCCACAGGGAGCTGCTGTGTGACTTTATGATGAAGATTGAGTCGCTGAGGGATTGCGGTTTTCCTGTCAGACGCGCTAGTGCGGTGGGACTCGTGTTTGTCTCTCTTAGGAAGAGAGGGAAGATGATGTTTTAGTAGAAACAATGATACACATTGGTATTTGGATCATCCAATGAACCAACCAGCAGCTTTACCATAATATCTATTATTCTCTTCTGATTCTTTAATAGAACTACTAATTTTAGCCTAGATCCACAAATACTCAGAGTAAAGGGGAGGTGGGGAATGGTGCACCTTTTTACTATGTGACCATCTGCCTCTTTTTTGGCCAAAAGTATATAAGCAGAAGTGCTTCATATAAATTCTGGAATATGCTCTCAAAGGGAGGAACATGCCCCTTCTGCCCACTTCCTCCATCCTGAGGTAAGCAGCACGAATCTGAAGGCTGGAGTTTCAACTCAGATGAAATTAGGGCCGCA